CTGACGAACTACTGCAAAAGCCTCTTCACTTGTTTCCACTTGTCCTCTTGGCTCACAAATTCATTTCTCCACACAACAGCCAGGCAATCAGATCATGCCAAGGCGTCAGCCCTTCAAATTACTTTCCAGTGCACCAACAATAAAATCTCACCTTCTTTCCTGGCCTCTCACGTTCTTCCTCAATCACTCCCCTCTGGCAACAGAGGTTTCTTTCTCTTTCTCCAACCTGCCAAGTTTTTTCCTGCCAACTCTTTGGACTCACTGTTCCCTCCACTTGACTTTTCACTTGACTTTTCACATGATTGGCCCTTTCTCATCCTTTAGCCCAAATATTTCTTCATTGAGAACTTCCATGACTACTTTAATTCAAGTGACACCCCACTCACAGTTATCCTCATAACACCCCCCGTTAAAGTCTTCATGGTCCTTACTACTATTTGAAATTAGCTCGCTTGCCCACGTTTCTGTCCACTCTTCATGGGGACTTTCTCAATACATTCAGCAATGCCTGGCATCTAAGTGCTCAGTAAACACTTGTGCATGGTATAAAATGGGTTGAGAAATTATGCTGTGGAGAAAATGGAAACTGGATTCAAGGAAGTAATTCCTCAAACACAGACCCTACCACTATTGTAAGGAAAGTTGTTGTTGTTGTTGTTTATCCCAGGAAACATTTCCTAGAATATGGTTTGATTTGTATTGGTTGGATGCTAAACTAAACAAGAACTTTTGACAAGAACTAAAATTTGAGACCTGGTGGATCTTAAAAATCAAAACTTGAAAAAAAAAATCAAAACTTGAAAATCTATTGCGAGTCAAACATTTGAGGGGCTCTTTGGGAGTCTAGGGGGCTTTTATCAGGAGAATACTGATACTAAAATTAAGTTCCTGGTTCTTTTGCTTTGAGATAGAGCTGAAAAAAATCAAGATAGAAGCTCAAGAGATCAATGAGGTATCAGTTTCATGGGGGAAAGGAGTCTGAACAGGGTATAGCAAACTTAAGGTATGGGGTTAACTAAGCATAAATGAGCTTGAGGCCCAGCAAAGCTTCCCTAGTTCAAATGGAATTTCTAGAAACAAACCTGCAGTTGGAAACTTCGCTATTTTTATACTGTATGTGTTTTCTGTAATGATTTCTTTTCTGTTTCCCCTCATGTTTAGTAAAGCTGCTTTTGAAAATACTAGCCTATCTCAGTTATGCTAAGGGGAAACATTTTGCCCGAGGGGACTCACACAGCCTTGGTGGTGGGAAGGAGGAAACGGGTGATGTACAGAGAGAATCTAGAAGACACAATAGAAAGGAGAGCCAAGCCACAGAGTCAGGAGGCATACGTCTAGTCCCTTGAAACCTGGAGACACTCCTTCAGCTGTGACCCAGTCAACTATGAAAGGTTTTGTGTTGAATCTTAACGGGACAAAGCTAATTACTTAAAAAGTGAGGCATACCCAATATTAAGCTAAAAATGACAGTTAGTGAAGGAATTATCTAGTTGTATCAAGAGCCCTATTTGAAATTTGATGGGGATAATGCAAGGATGCCTTCAATTATTTCAAATGCATACAAATGATATATGAGAAATTTTATCCATATATCTGGCTGTGGATTTCAGTATTTTTCTGGAGGTGATTGTGCTAAGATTGAAAATTTGGGACAAATTAATATTTTATTCTTGGAAAGACCAAAAGCATGGTCAGTCATGAAGATGACTGAAGCCCAGAGACGGGCGTGGGGGGAATTAGAAGACATCTCTCTTATCCTCATCTCTTATAGCAGTCTACCAGGAAGTCCTTTCTTCTGCATAATTCAAATACTTCCTTCTTCCTCTAGTTTTTCCTCTAGTTCTTAAATGCTTCCTCCCACACACTACCATGATCCCAATTCTACCGTACATATCCGGCTGGACTGGAGGA